CCGAACGTCTCCTTGCTACCGCGATCTCGCCCACAGGAAGCCGCAACTGCGTGGCAGCAGGGAAAATGGCCGCGAATCCGGTTCGTAAGTAGAGGTGGAGTTCACATGTCGAGGTAAATTTTTGGGGCCGGAGCTGGTCATATCTTGAAAAATTCGCGTTCATAACTAGAGGTACCACTGTATAGAAGGGGTTTGCCATTGAATTCATTTGGGTTTCATTTTCATTTTTAATGGGTTATCTTTTTCACATCCATAGTCCCAACTGCCCTCATACCTGTAATCTTACCACCAAGGGTAACCCTACCAGATATTGTTGCTCACGCTGGTGGTGTTCTCAGGCGTATTGGAGCTATAGAATCCTCCCACTATATCAACATGTGAAATGAACAAAAAGTGTATTTTTCTAACTTCTGGACAGTTTTTTAGGCATGTAGTCTGATACGGTATTACTTAGTTCTTTTAACTGATATGTCTTAGATACACTATGCTTACGAATATGGAATCTAGTACTTCACAAAACTAGACACATTATGCTGTGTCTAATATGCTTGTGAATTAAGTGTCTAGTACTGTATCAGGTTTGAGGCATAAGGCAAGCATGCTGTTTTGCACTGATCTAATTCCTGTGGGAGAATTTAGTTTGGTTGAGCATAAGCCATTATATTCTGAACTCTTTATGTTTCCCGTAGCCTTTGGCAGGATTATACATAGCTTCTTGGTCTTATTATTTCTCTTTTTCATTTTATATTTGTTAAAGTTCTGTATTGATGTCCATAACACTATTAGATCATTTTGTTAAATAAAGAAGTTCCATAGTCATAAAGGATACCCATTACACCTTGCAATGTTAATAACCCTTGTCCATCCTTGGACTCCAGATCCTTATAGTCTTCCCAGTTTGCTTAGTTTAGCATAGTTAAACACATTCAAATTCACTCTCCATAAGTCCCAGTAAGCATAGCCAATAGCCATGCTGGCTATAGGAGCTGAAATCCAGCCCTTGGAGAGCACTGAGAAACCTGATTTGGAAGGTGACATAATTTGACATAACTAGAGGAAACATGTCCATTACCCTTGTTTTGTTGGAGGTTTTTAAAAAAAAAATATGATAGGGGTTAAAATATAAAGCAGGTAAGCTGAGCAGTACCTAAGAATTGTTTTGAATTCAGTCAAGTTATAAGGATGAGAAAAATATCCTGTTTACTGCTGACTGATCATTGCAGTCTTAAAATAATAAAACATGTACTAGAGCAAAACAGTTTGGGAGACTGAATAAATGCAAGGTTGGCCATCTCATCTATTACAGGAATAATTATTAAAACCTGGCTTTTATTTTTATTACAGTGGTATATTAATGTAATATTTCTTAGATTTATTTAAACTGTGAAGAGTATAGATATGTGTGACAAACTGCAAATAAATAGTATATACAGTATAAAAGGCTTGTCATCCAAGTTTTGTACTTTCTTTCCATTACTGAATTTATGGGTCATACATACATTTTCCTGAGAAATCATAGGTTGCAAAAAAGTCAAATTGCATCCATTATCATTGTGAAATCAACTGAGTATGTTTTGACACCTGTCTTTAGGAGATTTCCCACTTGTGTCATTTTGAACTATAATAGCAATCCCTGTCAATTCACAATTCCTTGAACTTTTGAACTAGTATTATCTTACTCATCAGAATAAAAAATCTTCCAATAGCAAACACCACTAAGTTACTGAAATGAAACTTTTTGCCAAGAACCTGACCTTAGCCTTAAACCTTATAAGTGGAATAGTGGTCTGTACTTTGAAATCAGAAAGGAAATGTCTTTTTGATGCTCCCTCATGGATAAAAACTTTCAGTTGAAGCACAGTCAACCTACCAAAATCCGTATGCTTATGAAACTTTGGAGATGGGGAATTTCTTTCATGGCGAGTTACTCCAACCAACTCACTGTGCAGAGACAGTTGACACAGGACTTGATTTAAAGTTGTTGCACCAACTTTGGGACCTCAAGATTAGTTTAACTCATATGAATTAATCAGAAGTAAATAAATGCTATTACTTCTGATGGAAATAAGATATGGGCTGTGGCAGTTGATGGGGAGAGGTCACAGTTAAATATGAGGCCATGAGCAATGACTGAGGCAAGAGAGATCAAGTGGCCTTACACTGTTGGAGACTCAGGAAAGTAATGGAGGCACGAGGTCTGCAAAGACTATTACAGAGAATAGCTGCCAGTTGGGCTCATATGAATCAGTGTGCCTAGCCCACATCTTGGCAGTCAACAGGTATAAAGCTACCACCACAGAATGCCAACCTGCAACGTTTTTAATGTCCTCTTTTCATTCTGTTACTGTTCAGTGATGGCCAAAATTTACTAGCAAACTGCCTCATGAGCCCTTGCTGAAAGTGAATGCTCGTACTGCTTTAGAAACCTTTAGAACAACTGATTTTTGTTACAATGCGATCTACAAATCTCTGTTTTGAATATTGTTCCAAATACAAATAATCAGATGAATGAATCACTTGTATCTTATAAGTTGATAAAAGGCAAACCCAATCTATTTTAACGGAATGAAATAGCTTCGTAGGACAGCTTACAATGCTGGATGAAAGTTTTTTAACAGAAAAAAATTATTAGTACACTAACTGTTTGTTTATTTATTGTTGCATTTACATCCCATCTTTTTGAATTTGCAAATATTCAAGCTAGCTTACAATAATAAATACAAAATATAAAACTTAAGAATAATCCCTGTGCCATTAAAATGAAAAAATAATTAAATGCACTTTCATTAAATAAATATGGCATTAATTAGGCTAATTATTTTATTGCTGAAGTTTATTCAAGACATTTACTATACTGATGATGACTTGAGCTCAGATTTTTAAGAAATATGGTTCTGTTGACATCTGAGTGGGCAGATGTGCTAATAGTATATCCTAGGGTATTGTCAATTATATATAAAACCTGTGAAAAATAGGGACTATAATATCTAGGCTTGTTGATAGTGTATAATTTAATTGTCAATTTCTTTTTATTTCTCTGACATCTCCAAATATTATCCCAAGTGTGGAAACTTTGCAGTCTTGGTAGATTTCCATATTGCGCCGCAGGACCGTATGTGGTTTTCTGATCATCAGAGAGAGGTAAAGCCTAATCATTCCTACTTTCAAAAACACATAAAGAAATAGAAGTTCATGATTTTATAGATCAACTTCAACTGTATGACTGTAGAACTAATTTTTATTGTTGCAAGGAAGAAGCATATACTTGTTTATTTTCTTTATTTCTACTTCTCCCTTCCCCCTGATCTGTGTATGTTACAGTGGCCCTTAGCACAGAGAGGTGGAAAAAGAAAATTTGATCTTTAAATTTGGTCTATGGCAAAACAAGGGTATCTTATTTAGAAAACAAATTATATTCTCTTTCCATTTAAAAAAACATTACTAAGCAACTTATTTGTCAATAATAATATACTTTAAAGATAAAATAAACTCCATTGATTTTTGGTGTAGGATTGCAATGGTTTTTAAGTTGCAAACCGTAAGTTTTCTAAGAGTATATTATTATATGCAATAAATAGAAAAATCATTCACTTTATATTTAAACTCACCTTAAGACAAATTATCTCCCAGGAAGTCTGCCTTCTGCTGAAAGATGCAGTTGAATCAAGAGTAAAACAGTACTTGAGAGCACGTAAATTGCATGGCCGGTGCAAGCCAACAGAATATGGAAAAGCTAATCCTCTGTCTTTAAGAGGTAGGAGCTGTTTATTAAAAGTAAATAAATCATCATTTTTATTTACAGTGGCATTTACTTAATCTGTTGATTACTGCTGCATGGTTTTCTATCAAACAGGCACATTGTATATTGTGGAAGTAACCTAATTCAATAAGAAACGTTCGTGCTTCTAATATGTGGATGATGATTTAATCATAGAATCAGGTTTCTTATTAACTCAGATTCTTACTCATAGTTCAAGATTTTAAAAAAGCACATACAGACTGAATGGACACCTTAGCTGCCTAAAAAAGGAAATGAGAAATAAATGATCTCTGATCAGTTGGTAACCATTAATAACTTAATTGGTTTATGGATGGCAGAAGACCAGATCCCAAATAGTTAGCCTTTGCCTCATATACTCCTTGTCTCAAACTATAAACTTCCTGAGGACTCAGAGGACTCCAGAACACATGAAAGCTGTAGCCAGAAAAGGTTATTAAAGCATTTGGCTGCCTAAACAATACAAGAGCGAGCGATAGAATGTATGGGCAGGTGAATTTAACCCATAAAGTGCCAGTGGCCTACTATTAACCAGTATCTTTGATTGGATTCCAGTTATTCCTGCTTATGGAGCTCATACCTTCCAAATTAGTTCTTCCCCAGCTGCTGGGTTATTGTGTCTGAATAGACCACTGCCTGTTCCCATGTGGACTTGCCTAATCTTTAAATTCAGCTGTCCCTAGGAAAGAAAGTTTGGCTGGCAAACATGGAAGGCAGAGCCTTTTTGGTCATAGCCTTCCATCTGTGGAACTGTCATTCAGAAGAGATATAGTTTGTATTTTTAGCTGCCCCCTAAATACATATTTCAGTTCCAGCTGCTTTTAGCTGAACGGTTGTTTTCATTGTCTGCAGCAGTTCTGCCTTTAAAAACAGCTAACTAAAATTTGGATGCACTTTTATTTGTTTTCTCCTTTGCATTACAAAAACACATTCGTATTGACACTTTTCAAAGTGACTTGTTTATATCTTCTATGCTGCCGTGAGAGAAGATTGTATTCCGAATACAATAACTCTCCTAAAGAAATAAAAATACCACACAGAATAAAATGAGATCAGAGAATATTTTGGTTTGATCACATGGGCGGAAAAAGTCCATGCTGAGTTTCTGTAGTTAGAATAGAGATGGAAATTTGAGAGAACAGACAAGCTACCACTTGCTCCTCCTTTGTACCACCTATCCTGGATGAAAGAAAGATGTAAATCTTTTTCCCCAATCCAGATGCTAGAAAGATGTGCTAAAGCAATGTGTTGTTTATATTCAGGGAAAGAGAGCTGAGCAGCTGTGAGCAAGCTGTGTCTTTCTGCTCAGATGTTGGGAAGTAACACAGTGAAAATATACTGGCAATACAAACACGTACGCTATTCAGAATATAAGTCCCAGTTAGATCAGTATTAACTGACAAGCATGTTATAAAAGACTGCATCCTGTGAGTTTGTGTGTGTGTGTGAGGATAGAGTTTTACTTGCAGGTACTTGCAGTTATTGTTATATTATTTAACCTAGTTGAAAACAAGACTTCAAGGTTGTACGGAGCAGTTAAAAGTTAACCATATATTTTAATCTTTGCATATTAATCTTTCTCCTGTGTTGTGGTCAGATATAATCTGTGAAAGGAAGCTCCTCTGGATTTCTCACTAGGGCATTAAAACTCCCTAGGCCTTTAAAGTGAAGCAAGTCTGAACATTTTCTAGCATCAGGACTTAAAAAGCAAAAGAAATGGCCCATCATGGTAATAGGGAAGGATTTTTTTAATTAAAAATAATTACAAAAGTGGCGACATTGGAAGTATAATTTCCTTACTTTTAAACTTTTGATTTGATGTTTAATAACACAAACTGCTCCCTTTTCCCTAAATAAAATTTAACTGCAAACAGTAGAATAAGGTTTCTATCAGCCCCACTAAGTAGAACAGACCAGGAAATCAACTCCATAGGATGACTAAAACTACTTTTACAGAGATTGACTATAACAGAATCTTGCAAGTCTGATTGTGCTGCCCATCCTCCCCTTTCTTATACTTCAGTGAATTAGGGAGGCATCTCCCTGAACCATTTCCGAATGTAATCTTCTTGTGGACTTAAAAAAAAAATGCTTCAGCATCTTTTGCTTAGGCAGCAGAGCCTGCGTATCTCTGTCAGGGTTATCTTACTTAATGCTGTATAGTTTCATTTTAGATTTCTGGAGGCTACCTAGTAACTTGTTTGTTAAAATTATGCTTGAGGATCTTTTGTAAGACAGGAAAGCCTTGACAAAATGGGAATTTTTTTCTAACTAGTGGATTTCATACTAATATTAATTCAATTTATATGGCTGCCTAGTGATTCTGGATGGCTAACAACAGATAAAAAAAACAATAACCACAAAATAAAATATCTAACCAAGATAAACACTAAGCAGTGCCAGTTAACATAATCATCTCATGGGCTGTAACTGACAATCCAACCCCATGCCTGAGCAGACAACCTCATCATCAGATCCTTGTGAAAGACCAACAGGGTCAGGGCCAATCTAATCTCTGTGGGGATGATGTCCTAAAGAACAAGCACCATGACAGAAAGGACTAGTTTCATGTGTCCAGCAAGTCAGCATTCCTTAATTGATGGGACCTACAGCATAACTCTCCTGCTGGATCTGATGGGTTGGATAAAAGTGACTGGGGAGATATGGCCCCACAAATTATTCAGCCCTATGCCATGAAGGGCTTCATAGACAGCTGTGCTCAGATTCTTTTGATTGTGTGTAAGGATCCATCCCCTTTCATAGATCATTATCTTGTAATGGACGAAGGACTTGTGCATCCTACTGATGCTGAGTAATCTCAGTGCATTGGGCGTATACTGTTCTTAGAAGGGACGTCCAAGACAGGCAGTGTCAGGCTTGTGTGGTAGTTCAGGCAAGAAGCATACCCAGAAGTACTAGCTCTAACTTTATTATAAGGTTACATTAACAGAATCTTGTAAGCCTGAAAGTACATTTCTCCCCCTCACCTTTACAGTCCAAAAAACTAGGGAATGTCACCTCTGAGACATTTGCCATGCCTATGTTCCTTCTGAGGATGCAGCTGCTGCTTGTCTGACCATTGTCTAGTCTGCTGCTCTTCCTCCTGTCTCCCAGGGTCATTCCCACATTCCTCTACAGGTAGGTTATAGATGAGGGATCAGTCTAAATTGGATCTACAAAAAAGGAAACAACAACTTCTTCCAGTATTCTTCTAAGAAAACTAAGTGAATATTCACAACCAGGACAGTAGAAACATGATACTGAAAGATGGCAGCCTAGATTGGAAGCTAGAAGAATTGCTAAAGGCAGGTACAAGTAGCACTGGAGCTTACAATGTGGCTAGAGTGAACAAAAGAGTGTCCACTTGCTGATGCAGAAGCAAAAGCAAAACTTGATGCTGCAAAGATATCTATGTAATTAATGCATGGAATGTCAGAACCATAAACCAAGATATACTCAATGTTATCAGAACATAAATGTCCAGACTGAAATTGATATTCTGGGAATCAGTGAACTGCAGTGGAGTGAAATTCACATCAGAGGAGTATCAGATTGTATAGTGGACAAGAAAATCACAGAAGGAATGGAGTGGCAATAATTTTTAATAAAATGGTATCAAAGTCAGGCCTGGAACATGACCCCCAAAATGAAAGAATTATTTCACTTTGAATCCAAGGCAAGCAATCAGTATTATGAAAATCCAAGTCTGTGTTCCAACAACAGATGTGGAGGAAGCAGAGGTTGACCAGTTCTGCGGTGATTTATAATACCTTGTAAATGCAACCCCCAACAAGACATCTTACCAGTTATGGGAGACTAGAATGCTGCAGTTGGAAATAAATAATGGGATAATGTGGATAAAATGAAGCAGGAGACAGATAGTTTTACTAAGAAAGGTCATTGATTGTAACACATTCTTCCAACAACCTAAAAGATGATTCTACAAATGGATATCACCTGAAAGAACAACAGCAAAGTCAACTAGACCATATCCTGAAAGCAAAGATGGAGAAGGTCTGTTTGGTAATAAAAGAAAGATAGGCTTCTGACTGCAGCTTACAAACTCCTTGCAAAATTACAACTAAAGAACATGAATAGAATCATCAAACCAACCTGATACGATTTCAGCAATATTCCATGTGATTATGCAGTCAAGAAAAGAATAGATTTAATGGATTAGACTTGATAAAGTGCTTCAAGAACTCTGACACCGTTAAAGAGGAAGTCATCAAAAATATCCAAAAATGTAAAAAGCAAAAGAAAGTGAAATGGCTGTCTGCTGATATGTTTAAATAGCCAAAGAAAAGGGGAAAACAAAAAGTAATATAGACAGAAAAAAATTTGCCCAACTAAATCCTGACTTCCAGAGAAGAACAAGCAGGAGTCATATCTAAATAAGCAATGCAAAGGAACTGAGATAACAGGCAGATGGGAAGGACACCAGATTTGTTTTAGAAGACTACAGAAATCAGGGGAAACCTGTATTCAACCATAAAACAATAGAACAATAGAAGAGAAAGATAGTAAAGGTCTATGTTTATTGGAGAAAGAAGAGATGGTCAACAGTTCACCCCAGGAAAGTGAAGAAAGGGCTGCTCTAACATTTCTCTGAGGCTTAGCCTTTGCCTCTTCTGCCTGCCCTCAGGGCCCACAGAGTTCGGAGGGAGTGGCTGCCTCTGCCAAATTGCTTCATGCTATTAGCAGTGTCTTCATATTAAGAAGGATATTAGTGCTCTATAATAATAATTTCATAGGGATAAAATGTCTTTAAATATTTTACAACTTAATAATTTTAAACTCAGCTGACTGAATTTACTGGTGAATGCCATGCCCTGAAGCTTCTCTGTTTCTTCTTATTCTCCCTAAACCTGTTCTTGTTTAATAGATTTTTGTTATCTGTGTTTCTCTCTCTATGTTTCCAGTTAAAGATGAACTGATGATGGGCAACACATGGGAGGAGGAATCCTCTGATAAAG